AAATCAATGTTCACCTCACATTTTTTAGTAAATATAAACTCATACATTTTTTTCAGATATATTACAAAATCACACAAAAGGCCGGCTTTAAACAGAAGAAAACATTTAATTAAACATCTTTTGATATTTAAAATAATTTTGCTTAATAAAAGTGTTACGAAATTAAACATACAAAACATTATAATAAAAAAACATTTCAAACTGAAGATACTTTGGGAGTCTGGAAGGGTCCACGTGGTGCAAATTCACAATAAAATGGAAAGTTCATGAAGGAGCTGGTCTGCGGTGGGTCGGGTGCTGGGGTCGCCGTCCCAACACAGACTGATCAGCTTTTGACACTTTTGTCCAAGAGAAGACTGGATAAAAACATCCCTAGTGATGGAAGGGCGCAGGTTATACGCCACGACGGCGTACAGTATATACTGTCGGTCCCCCTCATACGGCGGCTCTCGGGCGAGGAGCTGCCACATCGTGATGCCAAACGAATAAACGTCGGCGCGCGGAGAGACCTCCTCTCCCTTTAGCAGCTCAGGCGCGCGGTGCGTGAACGTGCCACCGATTTCACTCAGGTGCGTCACGGTGTCGCTTTTACTCGATAGTTTGAAAGAGCACCCAAAATCTGCCAGCTTACAAACACCCTGTTCTGATACCAAAACATTGGCAGGTTTTAAATCCAAGTGGACTATGCCGTGCGCATGCAAATGCTGGAGCGCACGCGCAATGTCCATTGAATATCTCACGCATTTGTCCATAGGCAACAGGCCTGCGAGTCCGTAAATGACCTGCTGTAGGTTTAGGGCGCCGGCGAAGTCCATTACAATCGTCCCGATGTTGTCTTTGGTGCTGAGGTGCGCAGGGATGCACGTGGTGGCTGCGATCACGCGCACGATGTTTTGATGGTGCAGGTGCGCTGCATTGAGTTCCGCCCAGAAACTTTGCCTCGAAGCCAGTTTGTTTTTCACACATCTCACTTTCTTCACAGCAACAGTCTCGTCAAAGTATGTGCCTTTGAACACCAGACCGAATCCACCGCTGCCGATGGGCTCCAGAGCCTGCAGCTCTCGCCAGTGGATCACAGAGGACCAAAGTCTGTGCGCGATTTTACCGTGAAACGCGTTAGTGGGCACACGCAGTGTAGATCCGCTCGCTGTTTTGGATAGTGGGCTGCTGCACGCGCCAAACTCCAGCCCAAAA